TCATACAAAACTACTATAACACGGGCAATTTCAAGAAGCCGACAAGTCCATAGACTTTTCGAAAGAATTACAGCCGTTATATGATTTTGTCCATATTCATAGCAGCAGTTCTGAAAGCATCATATTGTCATCAACATTCTTTGGTGATTTGAGTTTGACAAAAGAACCCCTATTCTTATTTCCACTGTTTAGGCACTTAAGTAAAACTACTGGAAAATGTTAACTTTTTTAAATTCCCAAATTCCAGTCCTATCGATTTCACCTCTTTATATTCGACTGTTGCTGCTGTTGAATGATGCACTTCATATAATTATCCTTCTCCATTCTCAACCATCTAACTTGAATTACCCTACAAATTGCTCCTCGATTTGTGCCTTTATTACTTGTTTTCCCGTAGGAATGATGCGAATTTCCGAGAAATCCGCTTTCTTGAGATTATCTTTGAAAAGAACAGCATTTCTCCCGGGTAGAGTAGTGACGACAAACGTCTTCTTGCCAATGAGAGGCTAACTTGAACGTTATTAATCTTGAGATGGCATACGGTCGGTAATGATGGTTTTCTTGAATACATTAAATTCTTTCGCTGATTGGCCAACCTATTTATGTCATTAGAGTGACACTGTTTTGTTTCTTGGAATGAATCTTACTGTGTCCACAGCGTATATCAATATTCCCCCTAGATAGGAAATCAGACAGACATTTGATGGCGAGAATGAACATTGTTTTACATGTGTTCTTGTGATCCGAGACAACGGCGCGAATTGTGTTTGGATCGTAACACGTTTCCCGCCATTTCGTTGCAGCAAACGAAGCAGAACTCGAGAAATGGCAGATTCAATCGTCTGGCAAAAATACATGATATTGCGATTGGCTAATCTCAGCAGATGTGTCCTTTCTAGCTCTGTGGTTGTACGGAGATGTACATAACATAACATATGTTCATTGTTACGCACGTGCGCAGTGACCCATTGACTTACAACTTGCGTGAGAAGAGTCTTGCTAATTTCCCAGTGTCTTAAAGATTTTCGTTTCATGGAAAACGTTCCCTATAATAAGAAATAAAAGTTAATTACTCAAGGAGGCGACTAATAAGGCGAGAGTATTCAACGTGAAGGGGGTATTAGTGATTCTTCCACAAACACCGTGATCTTTAATCGAGCTAAATAAGGGAACTTAAACCCGTAACGTGTAATAAGCAAACAAACACGATTGCTTCCACATTTATGACTTTAAGTTGCAGGTTATTCTCCATCCTGTGATTAGATTGTGTTTCATTTTCTTTAAAGTTTTGCCAGTAATGCCGTAGCTATAACAACAAGCAATCGCTTGTTTATTTTGCCCTTACACGCACTGCATCCAAGTGAAAATGATCTAAATTTGGTGTCAAATCACCTATCTCCTGTTGTTGTCGTTCATATTGATTTTTTTAGACTTCTTGAGTCAGACAGAATGGACACGTTTGTTGTTGCCTATTCTATTGAGAAATACGATTTCTCGCTTAGATCCATTTCTTTCCCTTGTCTCTTCAGTGTAACTGACATGCTGTCCGACACACAAAGATATGCCAAAATTGGGTATTCTCATTCGCCCTATATAGCGACCCCCATTGCAAGGGAGAAATTGCATTTTTTGCTTGTGTTGAGATTAGCCTGGCCTAAGGCGACTCATTTACCAAATGAGCCTTATCTATACAATCAAAGTTACTGTTGACGACTGGCTGAGCATTTTTGGTAGCGATTTCCCAAACTCAATGGGATTACTTCCATTCACAAATACTGTCGGTCAAAAAGCATCCAATAGTGGCATTTGATCAGTATCCCACTCTCACCGATTCATCCCAAAGAACAACTTACAGATTTCGTACTTTCGATCATGGCCTTTATTGCATAAAAAACAACGAGATAAAGTGTGGCATTAATGATTAATACGTTGTCTGATGCGGGTAGCCTCCAGTGGTTAGTACAGCGAGAGTGGGCCGGGGGTAACCTGTCTATGGGCAAGAACGGGGAAGCCTCCAGTGGTGGTGCAGCGAGAACAGGGTAGCCTCAAGTGACGATGAGAGAACGGGGTAACCTCCAGTGGTGAAGCAAGTATATATGCCTCCAAAGGTGGCACAGCAAAAACATGGCGTATAATCAAAACATTGCACACAGAATAAAAAAACTGCCAAAATTGAGTAAAGCGTCACGTGGTCATCGATGGTTGGTTCTAATTTGATAACGCCAAAGAGGCAATACATCAGCGATGATAACGACAAGACCACAGTAAAAATAAAACTACCATCACGGGGTCACTGAATATGTTATCGCCTTTTCCTAATTGTATCCCACAAGTAAACTCCGCCTTTTTCATCAAGGCTGGCTATTTTCCCATGATTAAACAGTGATGTTAAGATTTGGTTTTGATGGTCGCCATCCGACGGCTAATCACAGTAACATATCCAATGGTTATTTTCCCACCATTTGGTTGCTTTCATTAACTTTACTTAACGCCGTTAGCTATACTGGTAAAAAAAGGTCCCAGTACCAACTGCTCACCAGCAGCGAATGTAAACCTATACCCCAACAACGTAATCATTACAGCCTTTGCAATTGACTGGGCGGGATGCATATAGTGTGGTGGCAATAACGCGTACAGTTTGGCAGTGATAGATCGCCGACCGTCGACTTCGCCCCCGGTGACCATTCCAGAAAATCGGACTGTATATGTTTCAAGCTAATTTTTCTTAAAAAATTGAAAACCGGGTATGTATGGCTTCAACAAGCGGGGTTATTGAAACGAATTTGTAATCGTTGCAATGCTAGTATCGAGTAAGCGCTACACATACAGGTCAAGTTGGTGAAGTCAACTAAAGATCACTCACCCCGCTCTGTACGTACAAACCACGGCACAACTCGGGATGACTCACCTTACTTGCCATACAAGTGTGTCACATGTTTCTATTTTTGTATTTATTATATGATTAGTATATGTAGTTCGCTGTGAGTCGACTTCCCTCTGTAGCCACCAGTCACGGTGGCTGGCCAACGACTCGGATTTAAGGTGTTTGATTGTGATCACTCATCGATCCTTTTTCATAGCAGTCATTTTCCTGATTATTTCGATATTGATTGTTCGCAAACAGTTAAAATTAGCTGTATGTGGATCACCGGCCATTTAAGCACATTTGGCCTGTCATCCACTTTGACCTCTGTTACCCGAGCTCACGTAACAGCCCCATTACATGTTTCAGTTATTTTACGGGCTTGATTGCTGGCGCTCTTAATTACTGACACTATTAATTATTTCATTCGTCCAATAGCAAACACTGAAATTTGCTGGTACGTCACGTGGTATAATTATAGTAAACCAACAGCCTACGACCAACCCACGTACTATCGTAGCTCAGTTTGATCGGCAAAGCAAATTCAGTAGCCGGCAATTAATTGCATTTCTAACGCGTTTTGTATTAATAATACGTGTTGTTAGTATGTATGTAAACAAATTTGTTTCTTTAATACAAAGTCGATAGGGGACGGCGAATAAACTAGTATTCTCCGTCAAATCGAAAAGAACATAAAGGTTTGAATCCCTCCTCTATATGGAGATTTGCGATAGGTACATGAAGTCAGATGGACAGTGATCATGAAGCCAAACAAAACCCGAGTGATCGATTGTGTTTTAAAGTGTCGTAAATTAAAATCAACATTGATTGAGACGACTACTTGTCAAGTATGTGTCAAACACTAATAGCTGTAGAAATTAAGCGCTATTGAATTGTTTATCTTATGATTTAGCCTGTTATCACCATTGTTAACGCCGAATTAATGTTGAAAACAACACAATTATAATAAAATATCTGTATACACCACTATTTACTTACACTGTACTCCAACCTTTATTCTAGAACATAAACTCAGCTCTTTCAGATCTATTGCTGTTGCCGGCAATGTGAGCATGAGTGCACTGTCCGATTAAACACTGTGAATATGCGAGTTGTTTACTAAAACTGACCAATCCAGCGTGCACAGAGAATGTAAACGTTGCGACACCATTTTGAAACGCTGTTAAACTTGCACGAAGTGGCGTATGCCAGGACTTCTAAAAAATCGGAATGGTTTTGGATAACTTGTTTTAATCAACACCCAAACATGTATTGTATTTATCCAAGGAAACTACACTGTTCCGCTAGTTTTTGTGTATCACAGTTTGTCTTCGATTGAAAGAACAAGTTACAGAGAAAGAGCTGAGAGCTCTTTGTAAACAGACAACGCGGTTGAAATGTGCGAAAAACAATAGAAAAACATTGATCTTTTCAGTGTTTGCAAACCCCAATACGATGAGACAGAGAGACAGAATAGGCCTTATTAGTTGACTAGTCTTTTAGATCAATGCTAATGTATTCGATTTTCATACAATAGAGATGCATTGAGAGTTTTTTTTTCTGACAGAGAGCGACGCCTATAGGCCGAAACCAACGCTTTGCTTTTTGAAGGGGTACATCCCAATATCCAGGTTACGTTTAAAGTTTCGCATTTGCTGGTATTCCCGGCGAAAAAGCCAGCAATTGTTGTTCCATGTTGGCTGAATTCATCAGTAGCGTAAAGGGCGTGCCTGCGATGAATGGTCTACCATAGAGGGTCGGTAATCGATCAGCTGTGACCAGGGATATACAGACACAGCAACGAGATTTGCTGTAATTTTGACTCTTGTCGATGTGTTGTGATTCGTGGGGTCTATTTTATTCGTAATGTTGGTACGGTGGCCCCTAGGGAGTCGGTGATTGGTCGTCATAATTGAACGACATACCACTCGGAAACGTCCACTCCCCCCACTGAAGGTGATCGGTGCCCGAGGAGGCGTTGATTTGAAGAGGGAGGGACTAATGTCAGCAATACAAAGGTCAGGCTAAGAGAGGTATACTATCATGGAGTCCCCTGAATGCTCAATGAACTATAGTTGTGTACAGAGTGCAGTGGTGCTATAGAACGCCGAGCAGCGTGGAACCACGTCTCTTCCAGCAGGCTCTAACCCACCGAAATTTGCTGATTATTTACAGGCCAACGGCGTCGGGATTCCTAGCGTAAGGCGAAAGAGAAGACCTACCGGCATAATATACAGTTTTGGAGCAAATTCAACCATCAACAACAACACGACTGTTTTGCGATAGACTGAACCTTTTTTCGAAAAAGGAGACCCCGGACTTATAAAAGTGGATATATATAGTATGCCACATAAAGGTATTTTACCGCTCTTGTTTTAATTTTGTTGATATCACTTCTATTTGGTGTAAACTATCACGTGAATTGCTTCCTTATCTGTTGTCTTGACCACACTTCGGCTGTGTATTTCACTCCGTTATGTGGTTGGTAGTACAGGAACGCACGCTGTGTCGAGATACGCCGGAAGCTCGTAGTACACTGTTTGGGACGGTGCGTTTTCTCATGGTAGTCACGTTATGGGCTCTCGTGTACTCGCCGAAAGCAATTCCGCTTTTCAACACATTGAGATAGGGAGACTGTTACACGAGAATGACTACAAACACATCTATATTTTGGGCAGATTTTAGAAATGAAACTCATGCATGCACTTGCTTGAAATGAAAATCGAAAGGTGAAGTCATGTTATGGTCCGCTCTCAATAAGATATAACCAACTAATGCTTCTTGCCCACAGCTATACTAGCTCAAATTTTCGGTCAGAATTTGCTTGATCCTTTACAAAAATACACTATCGTTGAATGCATTGAAGTGCATGAATGCCATGACTACATCAGCTTAAACATAACTACATCGACACTTTCCAACCCATAGACAGTGTGATTAAGTAGTGAGATACATAGGTCAACATTTGACTATCGATATATTGACTATCGATATTGACGGAAATATTGTTCACATGCCTGATAATCTACTTATAATCTGTTTTATATGTATTTTCGTGTATTTTTTATGGAAACTCGTCATGGGCATTTTGTTTAAAAACGGCCATTAATAGATAATTTCGGACACGATTGTTATTTTTGTTTACTTGTATATAGCAAGTGCACGTGTGTCCATATCTTGCAAGTTGTTCGCATCACTCTCATTCCCCTACACTACACACCAGTCAGGCAGGCAGACGCTTACTTAGTTCGCCTCACGCTAAAACTGGTAGAAACTAAGATTAATTTTATTGTTTTGTTTTGTTTTTTGTTGAAAATCACCCGATCATTACCGCTACGTATTTTCAACCAGTTTGTCCACATGAATTTCGTATTCTCGACTTACAGACACGCGATTCTTTTGAAGGTTGTGGACACTTATATTATACGAGAAGATGATGGAATTTTCGACTGACTCAGCCAACGGCAAGTAAAACACCATTACCTTCTTTTTTCGGTTGCCCAGTGCAATCTTACCCCTCTTACTGTTATATCGACTAGTTTTAATACCGTTTCGAAGGTCCCCGAGGCGGACTAGAGTATTAGCACAATGTCTCAATTTTACTCATATATTTAATGATCAAATTTGTGGACTCTGAAAACGCTTCTAATGCTAGCAAATATTTAGCCAGCGACTTTGAGAGAGCCATGCATGTGTACAAGCACCGTAACTTCCTTGTTGATGGGGGTCTTGGTGAATTAATGTTGCTTACAGTACTGCCGAGCTTGCACCATCCGTCATTCAAGTTAGAGCTATCATTCGACATTTTTCCTTCAATCGTATTTCCAAACATTCCCTAAAACTTGAATATGGTTTTCTAAATTGCAAGGATCGCTGTGTTCTGTTTCTATTCGTAGTAACATAATGCGTTTGGTACTCGGGGGCTTTCCCAAATCATAGGCTTCAGGTCTAGTGTAGATGAATTTCTCAGCCAATCTAATCCCCCAAGAGTGATGCCTTTCTCATGTCTTCTAATACGAAATTAAAAGCTTTTTTTCTCTATTAAAATGAGGATATTTCGTGGCAGGCGGATTCAATTTGCGTTTAGGTCCCTTTGCTGTGTTTTGTGAATGCAGAAGGCCGGGCGATATAAAACATGAACTAACACGTAACCGGTTGTATATTTGATGTATTACTATACGATGTAATTTATAATCAGTGTCTGTTATTTGATGAACCACAGTGATACGGTATTTATTTTAAATGTACACACCATATGATTTTAATGTATTTGCCGTGGTCAATGCAAGAAATAATTCAACATGGAGAGTATACGATTGTCTTTGTTTGGCACGACTGACTGACCGTCTGTGTGCGTATTTCCTACGCTGCTATCGATCCAAACAGTGATGACTGCTGTTTAAAATGTCGATGATGAAAATGTCAATAATTTCTAATATAATAGTTGTAACAATTCGAAGTGGAGTGGCAGTTCAATACTTCAATAATAATTGTAGCTTGTTTTCGTTAGCTATATGGCAACACCATGTCCCCCAGTGTTCGTAAACTCTGTGCGCGGTGACGGTGTAAAGCTGCCCGTCTCACGCAGTGTACATGCATACCCCGTAGCTGCTTACGGCAGACCGTGCGATCAACGAGAACTAGCGCTAACAAAGACAGTAAGAACGTTGATTGAAATTCGTATAAATACTAAACCGCTTTACTATAGAGTTTATTAATCCAATCCACTGCATACACATCTCATAATAATGCCATTTTGTATTATTAAACATGGTCGTATACTGCCCATACGGCAGGCGGCATCTGACCTCAACAAGCGTTTCGTGGTTCTTGCTTTCAACACACTGTCAAGCAGCTCTACTTATCTTCAAGTTTTTCTATATTTTCTGAACATCGTAAAAAATCACTATTCCAAACTAATTTAAATCCTTATTTTCTTTCACGTACCGTGCTTGTCTGACACGCTATCGGAGTGCTCCGTATTATTTCTAATTACCACCGCGTCACCGTCTCGTTAAAATCCGGCTATTATCGCCAGCGTGCCAGTCAACCCACCATTTGTGCGGTATATTAACACTTGGCGGGACGTCAATTTACAGTCGGTCGCCGATTCACGCACAACCAAAAATGCTTTACCCAGTTGTGACCAGGTTGCGTGGCTCTCACTCTTGATAAGACGACAATTGAAAATGGCGTCCGACATGGACTGGTATGTTCACGTCTGTGGCCTTTCGAATACTTAAATTATGAACCAGTTAAAGAAATTGATATATCATAAAGTAGATTGTAAAATGATATATTTGTCCCTAATCACACACTGACTTCGTTGTGGGAAACCTCTCTATTATGTGCGGATCGTCACTTCGATGTACGGGAGCCACTGCGAACCGCGTCGCGCCGGGCTGGCTCAACACAATCCCGTGTTAGCGACATAAGCATGTCACCAAACGTATTGTGAATAATGATATCAAAATATGGCGATACTAAAGTGTCATTTAAACTTTAAATATCTCCACCGCCAACACTGCGATTCTTTACTAAATCATACCCTCCGAAAAACGCCATTTTGAACACAGATGGCGGATATAATCCCGAACAAATGAAACTGTTTATTTTGTCATTTGAATGTCCCAAGCAGATTTTTCTGTCTTTCTTGAAAATGGCGATCATAATAAACAACATATTTTATAATAGTTCTTCTTTTAGTTTCGACTTTCTTCGCTATATTAACTGCCAAAGAACACCGCTATGAACCAGTTAAACACCCCCCCTCGACGTCCTTTTAATTCCATCGGCGTACATTTGAGGGTTGTAGCTATACATATCACATCTTTATAAATAAACCGATGATTGACATATACAGTACAAATACACAGGGAAATATTATACACAACAATGAGACAATATATTGAGGACATGTCATTATCTCAACAATATCACCATCTTATAATAATTATTTCATATTTCATATGATTCGGTTCCAGGCTATGTTTTTTGCTCTGAAGCGAAAGACTTCCTATTTATTTTATTACTTCATTTGATCGTTAATTTTAAAAAATTAATTGATAGGGAAATCCTGGCTAGAGGGCAAGAGAATTCTGCGCGGTTGTCGTGGATGGGGCGACAGAGCGATTAATGTTTTTACTGAAGGTTGTCAATTGCCATTACTTTATACCCATTCTGTTATGTGCGTCCATACAGTTATTGAATTTGGCGGGCTGTAAAATTTGTTATTTATGTAAAAATTTGATCAAAATTATATTCTACGAAATGAATCGCCTGACGCGTTCACCACTGTTTGGTCTCTTTTAGTCGATTAAATTGCAAACGGACATTTCAGTATAGTGACAAAATTCATTGGCTATCATAATTCTTCACAAAAGATGCTTGAGTACACAGTCGTTACACAATGCAAATAAATACCACTGTATCCGAGAATTCTCCCCTTTCGTAAATATGTACTCGTACCATGTACTATCTGATTGTTCGGGACGAAGCGACAATTGTCTAATGTGCCTTATCTTTTGACAAAATTCTGAATTTACCATACGTGGTGACACATCGATGTGTACACACAGTGAACACGTTGTCTGAAATCACACACGCATTTCGGCATCGGTTGACGATATTACTTGGGATGGGCGGAAGGAAACACGCATACGAATAGGTGGCAGGTTGGTGCAAACAACTTTGGAAAGGCGGGTACAACCTGTGATTTTTATTCTCGAAATACGAGTCTGGGGCATACTTTAGGTATGTGTACCATAGACATAAATTGAATGGGAAGACACAAGGGGTAAGCTTAAATTAGAGATGGTTTCAGTCAACACAGTTAATTATTAAGGGGAGCCTTTTCATTGTCAATTGCGCTGACGATGGAATACATACAACACTGGGAGTTGGATAGCTTTAATTATGGAGCACAGACTCTGGAATCCGGTACAGAAACTCGACACCTTTTGCAAGCTTCCGAAAAGCTATCCAGTTGCGCTGTACGGGGTCAGTTTTCGATGTACTATCTACCATTTGGTAATAAGTACCATCTCATTGTAACTGAGTCACCTTATTAAAAGAAAATATTGAAGAAAACGTTGCGATAAAAATGAATTGGAAATACATGGAAGTATTCCGCGAATAATGGTATTAATCAATTATAATATACAATTTAGAAGTCGCCTTAAAATGATAGAAATACCATTTAAACAACAAACAAAATAAGTGAGTTCAGAGTATTTTTTACTCAAATTACGATAGATATTGACATTGAAGTAGAATATGCCAACCCTTTGTTGAGACGTGAAAATTAGTCTCATCTTGACACGAGTCTGACATGCTCATATCTGTGTCCACTTTTTCATTTCCTTTGCCGAGCAACAAAATTATAGTTAGTCGTCTATTTGCATGTCACTCGCTGACACGTTCAGCCCCCAATGAATTGGCGTATAATAACTTCCGAGGGAGAGGCCTGTCGAAATGTTTTCAACTCTGGATAATGAGGTATTCAGAGCCACCTCATCTGACGCAAACAAGATTTTCTAGGAGGGGTGCATCATAGCCGCAAGGCAGTTATTGCGAATATGTCTATTTAGCGCATAAAGGCTCATAACAGAAATACCAATCCTTGTCTTTTATATTCCCGCCGCCTCGTATAATACTTAAAATCCTTCGAGTAAGTGTCATCCATAAACTAATTCAAAACTTCTTTCCAAATACCACTCTCCCCAGGCTCAGTGCGGATTTCGAATTTCTCTGTTCCCCTTTTCCTGGCTTTGGGATATCCTTTGCGCGTATCGCTGTTAGTTTGGATTTCCCCCACATTAATTTGTAGCCTTAAAACTTTTCCTTTCTACAAGGGGATTTTCTACGGGAAGTTAGTGCACGGGTCTTCTCTACCTAATCACATAGCCTCCCCTAATGAAACTGGGCAGCAGTTTTGAGCCGTGCAATCAGTGTATAATAAGCAAATAATCATGACCCTAATCTTTCGCAATCCGGTCGGTTTAAGAATCTACCCCGAAGGAAAAACAACTTGGAAAAAATATCTGGTATAAAAGTGTTAGGATTGGTTATGAAGCCCACTAGTGTGCACCGATTACTGGTCGATGAAAACGAAGATCGTGAAAGACGAAGCCGGGCTTTTCACAGTATCCACTACGAGTAGTACGACCGTGCCTCATTATAAAAATCGCTTTTGTCGGAGTTTTCCCCTTTTTGTTCGTAACCACAGGCCCCCTTCATATTGCGTTAGACAGGAACAGAGACACATCATTTGTACACGGAAATTTACTACGCCGATGACAATAGTATAATGTTGCTTCAGAGCCACTATTAGCAAGAAGTCTTTCCCTTTTGTTCGTTTAAAGTGTGCGCAGTATGTAAGTACGTTATAAAAATTGTCAGACTCATATCTTCTCATGCCGCGATGTTGGATTTCTTCTCTGCTGGAAGTCTGTTTGCCGGCCAG